GATGATGATGATAATAATGACAATAATAATAATAATGACAATAATAATAATAATAATAATAATGATAATGATGATAATAATGACAATAATAATAATAATAGTAATAGTAATGATAATGATAATGATATTGATAATAATAGTAATAATAATGATAATAATAACAATAACAATAATAATAATAATAATAATAGTAATAGTAATAATAATGATAATGATAATGATAATAATAGTAATGATGATGATAATGATGGTGATGGTGATGGTGATGATCATGATAGTAACAATAATAATAATAACATCAACAATGACAATAATAATAGTAATAATAAAACCAAAAGCAATAATAACAATGGTAATAACATTGTTATCAATTCAGTTAACACTGTTGTTACTAATGATGATAATGAAAAGGATAATGATAATGATGATGTGATGGTGATGATGATGACGACGATGATAATGATGATGTGATGGTGATGATGATGATAATAATAATGATAATGATAATGATAATAATAGTAATAATAATGATAATGATAACGATAATAATAATAATAAGAAGAAGAAGAAGAAGAAGAAGAAGAAGAAGAAGAAGAAGAAGAACAGATAAATAAATTAAAATAATAATAATAATAATAATGATGATGATGATAATAATGACAATAATAATAATAATAATAATGACAATAATAATAGTAATAGTAATGATAATGATAATAATAATAATAGTAATAGTAATGATAATGATAATAATAGTAATGATGATGATAATGATAATTATAACAATAATAATAAAAAAATAATGATAATGATAATGATAATGATATGATAATGATAATGATAATAATAGTAATGATGATGATAATGATGGTGATGGTGATGGTGATGGTGATGGTGATGGTGATGGTGATGGTGATGGTGATGGTGATGGTGATGGTGATGGTGATGGTGATGGTGATGGTGATGGTGATGGTGATGGTGATGGTGATGGTGATGGTGATGGTGATGGTGATGGTGATGGTGATGGTGATGGTGATGGTGATGATGATGACGACGATGATAATGATAATGATGATGATAATCATAACAATAACATCAACAATGACAATAATAATAATAACATCAACAATGACAATAATAATAATAACATCAACAATGACAATAATAATAATAACATCAACAATGACAATAATAATAATAACATCAACAATGACAATAATAATAATAACATCAACAATGACAATAATAATAATAACATCAACAATGACAATAATAATAATAACATCAACAATGACAATAATAATAATAACATCAACAATGACAATAATAATAATAACATCAACAATGACAATAATAATAATAACATCAACAATGACAATAATAATAATAACATCAACAATGACAATAATAATAATAACATCAACAATGACAATAATAATAATAACATCAACAATGACAATAATAATAATAACATCAACAATGACAATAATAATAGTAACAATAATAATACTCATAGCAATAATAACAACAATGATAATGATGATATCAATATCAATATCAATGGTAATGGTAATGGTAATGGTAATGGTAATGGTAATGGTAATGATAATGATAATGATAACGATAATAATAATAATAATGATAATAATAATGATAATAACAACAGCAATAACATTATCTATTATAAAACCAAAAGCAATAACAATATAACAATAATAATAATAATAATGATGATGATAATGATAATGATAATGATATTGATGATGATAATGATAATGATAAAGATAATAATGATAATAATAATAATAATAAGAAGAAGAAGAAGAAGAAGAACAGATAAATAAATTAAAATAATAATAATAATATCAATTGTAACAGAAATGGCAATGATATTTATGATAGCAGAAGCAACATTATTATTTGTGATAATAACAACTAGAATGATGATGATGATGATGATAATAATAATGATGATAATAATAATGATAATAATAATAATGATAATAATAATGATAATAATAACAACAACAACAACAACAACAACAACAACAACAACAACAACAACAACAACAACAACAACAACAACAACAACAACAACAATAATAATATTAATAATAACAATATCAATAATAATAACACTAACAACAATAATAAAATAATAACAATAATAATAATAATAATAATAATGATAATGATAATAATAATAATAATAATAATAATAAAAATAATAACAATAATAATAATCATAATCATAATCATAATTATAATCATAATCATAGTAATACAATTATTAACAACAGCAGCAATATGAGTATGTCATAATTATCATGATTTTTTTAGCATTATTAACATTATTATTACCATTAATAGTAATGTCATCATATTTTTTGTTATACCTTAATACAGTCAATAAAAATATTAATGAAAATATTAGTAATGGTAATGATAATAACAAAAATAAAATCAATTGGTGCACTAATTTATTAACTTCTGAGGAGTACAAAATAAAGTAGGAGACCAATAAATCAGACATTTACTCTTGTAAACAACTTACAAAGAATTGTTTGTAAAGGTATTTACACTATTTTATGATATCAGTTTCTCACATGAGACAGAATAAAATATAAATAGATATATAATTGCAAATAAGTTAACAATTACTGATATGGACATGGACTACTAACTATCACCTGTGTGTTGTCTCATATGTCTCACAAGACCATTTTTCCAAAAGAAATCTTTGTGACAAAGTTTACAAATATAGGGCTTCTCACCTGTATGAACTCTCATGTGGGTTACCAGGCTGTCTTTCTGAGAGAAATTTTTACTGCATATCTCACAACTATAAGGCTTTTCATCGGTATGTACTCTCATGTGCCTCACTTGATGACCCTTCTGAGAAAACTTTTTGTTGCAGATGTCACAGCTGAATGGTTTCTGCCCTGCATGTATTCTCATGTGCGTTCCCAGCGTACCCTTTTGGGAGAACTTTTTGCAGCAGACCTCGCAGCTATAAGGCTTGTCCCCAGTGTGGACTCTCATGTGTATCAGCAGTTTACACTTCTTTGGGAAAGTTTTGCTGCAAATTGCACATCTCAAAGAACTGCCGGAAGAGTGCCCTTTCACATGCAACAGGAACTGGCTCTCTTCCATAAAGGATGCTCTGCACACTTTGCAACTCAAGCTCTTCCCTCCCACATGGATTTGCTGGTGGATTTCCAGATCACACTTTGTGGAGAATGGCATCCCACAAACAACACAAACAAAAGTGGATAGAGGATCTGCATCCACACCTTCCTTCCCATTGCGCAAACAATCGTCATCATCACTCTCCGTACAAGTTCCTCTCATATTGTCCTGGCTCTCAATTTCCTCAAAATACTGGTATTCATCTTTAATATCCACATCATACTCCTCCTTAATACAAATTGTATTTTCATCACTCACACCAAACTGCCTCTGCTCTTTTATTTTCAAACTACTCTTTTCATCAAGATCAAAGCCACATTCTTCTTTAATATAGACTTTGGTGAATTCCTTGTTGCAAAGCTGCATGCCAGCATTTCCCTCGTACATCATTTCTGTTGAGATCTTCCACTGATCAGTGAATTAATGATACTTTCCATCTGAAAAAAAAACAAAAAAATTAATCATGACTGAGTTTTATTTCCTTATTTTTATCATTGTCCTAGATACACAAAATATGTTTCAAAATTAAAACTTGAACATATACCTAACTTCATTGGAATTATCATCCTTCAATGTGCCAAATTCCTATAAAAAAAAAGAGTAAGATATACGACTATTAAAACTGAAGTATCTCTCATTTTTCCTTCATTCAAATTTGTCTTGTCTGATAAAGATCCTATATTTTATTCCTTTTCTTTATGGAAACCTTATCGCGTACTTCCCAGAAGACTCAACAGGAAATGAGCACATTAAAAAATATGCACTGAAACAATCATGCACAAATGCACATACATGTACAAAAACATATGTGCATACACACATGCACACATATATACATAAAAGAAAACAATAATTTCACTCTGAACCTTCTATGGCTATGAATTCCTGAAGTCAATAATGAGCATGTATGTATAATTGTACATATAATGTGTGCTTGCGTGCGTGCGTGCGTGTGTGTGTGAGCATGTGTTTGTATGTAAGTGTGTGTGTGTGTATGTTAGTGTGTTTGCTTATGTTAGTGTGTGTGGTTGTGTGTGTGGGTGTGTGCCTGTGGGTGTGTGCCTGTGTGTGTGTGCGCGCGCATGTGCGTACATGTGCGTATGCGTTGTGTGTGTGTATGTGCACATGTACATGTGCATGTCTGTGTCAGTGTGTGTGTTAGTGAGCGTGTGTGTGTGTCTGTGTGTGTCTGTGTGTGTGTTAGTGAGTGAGTGGAGTGTGTGTGTGTGTGTGTGTGTGTGTGTGTGTGTGTGTGTGTGTGTGTGTGTGTGTGTGTGTGTGTGTGTGTGTGTGTGTGTGTGTGTTATATATATATATATATATATATATATATATATATATATATATATATATATATATATATATATATATATATGTGTATATATATATATATATATATATATATATATATATGTGTATATATATATATATATGTATATATATATGTATATATATATATGTATATATATATATATATATATATATATATATATATATATATATATATATATATATATATATATATATATATATATTTATATATATATATATATATATATATATATATATTACTATTTAATATCTGAAACTCCTGTCTTCCTTAAAACATATTTCTCCTATCAAAACATATAGGCACTACGACTATGGAAGCAGAAATTTGAAACTCAAGATGATTTTGAATTATATGTGTGTGATTTATATTATTAACTTAAAAAAAAATAAAACTATGTGCAATGGGCACATTTCTTAGACTTGAAGTTTGTATAGAAAACAAATGTAAACAAAAAAAAAAAAATTACCTCAAAATTTAAAGTGGGAATATACATCCATTTCGCCTTCAGCCAATCTGGATTTGAATATCCAGTCTAGGAACTGAAATAGATAAGAAAAACTTGAGCAATGTCTGGAATGAGATCTGATAAGAAAGAACAGTAAAACAACTGAACCAAAAAGAAAGGAAATGTTACCAAACCATATTCTGTATATTCCAGCAAGAAACATACTAAACATATGCATTTATCGTTGCTTGGTAACTATTGCTAGAATATGGTCTACAGTAGTGCTTTGGTAATGCATTTGTCAATTTGCTTTTACAACATCCAGATTATTTTTCTCCCTAGTGTGTCCTCCTTTTATTTTCTATCAATTACTATCTTTGACAAGCAAGAAAATACCATTAAAATCAATTCTGAACTTACTCGTCAAAATGTTGGGAGAGTTTCAGATACAATTTCATGATTGTTCTTCTATAGAAAATAAATAATAATTATGAGTTAGTAATTATAATCTAAATACTGTTTCTTAATTCATTTGTTTCAATGATGGAAAGCATTTCTAAAACATCCACAAATGCTTTCTTTTTTTTCATTACACTGGCTGTACTCTGCACAGATGTCATTGATATTTGTTGTGATTTCTGAAGGAAGGTATTATCTCAAGGCAAATCCTACAGTATTTATTTATTTAAAAAATTCTGCTGCATCAACATCTAAGGTCATTAGCGGCTCATACAACCTGGGGTCAAAGCTCCAAGGTCAGAAAGTTTTTTGAGACAGTAAGGCAATGTTTGTGGATTTCCAGAATGATCAATGGTCAATACAAACAAATGCACCTGAAATCAAAGGTTACACAGCATTATGGAAAAGCATTGTGGCAAAAATGGTAAATATGAGTTAACAATTTGGATAAATGGACAAAAGGTAGGGATGAAGAAGAAAAGGAAAAGGAAAGACAAAGAAGAAAAGACCCGACAGTAATAGCTGAGGTGATACCTACATTAGTCCTCAGTCTTTGCCTTCTAAGCCCCCCACAGCAACAACGAGCAAGGGATTGGGGGGAATCCTACAGTAGCACAGTGCTAACCAAAAGCTACAACCTATAACTCTGGCAAAAAAAAAAATCACAAAATATATCTGTAAAATAAGGACTGGGCTGCTTCCTATGGTGATGATAATTTACTAGAGAACTCTGTCTTATCGGAATATCTGTAGTAGAGGTTTGTTAGCCATTACCTGAGTCCCAATAGGTATGGAGGCCACGATAATCAGCACAAGACCAGTGGTTGTGTGTAGGGGCCTTTTAAATATCTACTGATATGATAAGCTAGCATGCATTCCACATGACACCTACTTTAACGACACACCCTAGACTTTCATACGTCAAGATGGATATTTTTTCATCGGCAAACCCAAAAGCCATTTCTATACAGATTGTCATCTGGTTTAACCCCATGAAAGGTTACCAGTGATAAATTCCTACTCATTTGAAGATCTGATCATTTCCTTTTACGCTGTTACTTAAAATAACAGTACCAAATATGTATCATTATTTCTCTATGCCTAAAGTTTGGATTCATGATTATATGAACTTTAGATTTCTTTTCTTCCAACATCTTTAAGTTAGAAGTTTAATCTAATTCAATTAGCTACTCAAACTTACATTATCTAATAAGAAAAAGCGAAAAAACAATACCATATATATATATGTTCTTCCAACCATACAAGATCATAGGACTTTTGAAAAGTTCGAACATATAAGATCATTATTAATTCTTACACCTAATGTATAATCACCTAAAGCATCATCGTCGTCGATCACCAGCATATGTTACAAACTCAAATTAAATCATTCAGTCGCTGACAACTTAGAGGAAGTGATAAATGAAGCAGCTTTTTAGTCCAATGAACTTTGGAGTTGTCGTCGTCTGAGTAATAGTGAGTGTGAGTGTAAAGGTAAAGGGGGGGTAAGACCATTAATGTAAACCTACTGAAATTAACCCTATGTTCGTCTATAAGGGCTAAATACGTAAGTAAGTTGGTTATTGGGGATCGAAATATAACTCCTATTGCATGTATGAGCTATTTTCTACTGATCAAAAGCGATATTAGGTTCATTCATGTCACTTAAGGATATTTGTATGGACTGTGAGTTTACTCCTGTATTTTCAGGCACGTTTTATGAGTTTTTGTCTATGCAAAATGTAAAATTATTATATAGACTGTATCAAATACGAAACCATCTGAACATAAGTATGATATATAAAATCTTATTGGTTAACACACACATATGCACACACACACACGCACACACACACACACACACACACACACACACACACACACACACACACACACACACACACACACACACACACACACACACACACACACACACACACAAAAAAAAAAAAAAAAAAAAATGTAGGATGCTAAAATGAACATAAATACCCAATTTTGAAGAAAAACGGTAGGACCGGTTTAGTGCAAATTAATATATGTATTTTATCAACAATGTCTCCAATGAAATTAATTCGTTAAAATTATGAACTCATCAGATTTTTTTTATTTTCACTGACATGCGGGAAAATTGTTAACTCATAGTTACCATTTTTGCCACAATACTTTACCATAATGCTGTGTAACCTTTGATCTCTGGTATATTTGTTTGTATTGATCAATTACATAATCATGCAAACTGCTTGAATGCTCTCAATATTTCAAGCTAAATAAATTGATATTTGAACATGTATTTATGAAACAAGAAAAACATGTTTGTTATAATTCATAACATCTACTTGATTAGTAGACACACAGCAGAAATACGTGAATATTACGTGAAGCATTTATCAAAGCATGTGATAAAGTGCACTCTCAATTTTTCAAACATATTTCTATCTTTCCTAATTTAACTCTTCTACTTATTCCTTCCCTCCTATCGGTCGTCCTTGATAGTATAAATGGGAAACACTTAGTTAAATTTTAATGCACTTTTCTTTTATCGAGTTCTTTAATATCTTGTTTAAAGATCTTTACTGCAAACTTATTTTCGTCTCTTTTTCCTCAATTGTCTGTTCATTTTATTTATCATTCTCTTTATCTTATAACTTTATTCACACATTACCTGTCACTATATTTGTTTCTCTCTATCTGTCTGTATTCATCTGTCTGTTTATCCATTTATCTGCCATTTATTTCTCTATCTCAGAATGTGTTTCTCTATATTCGTTTACTCAATTATCTATCAATCTTTCTGTTTATACATTTATCTGTCTGTTTATATTTAATCATTTCACATAGGAGACATTATTAAAGTATTCATTATCTCTCTCTCTCATACACACACATTTTTCCTATCTCTCTCGCACGCATATACAAACTCATTATTATTATTATCATAATAATGTTGATTTGTACTAAATTTATTGGAGTTTCATTTGGAGTATTTAATCAAATATTCGAACTCATCCTCAAACATTACAATTCCCTGATGACCTGATGGAAGAAATGCATAATAACTTACTCATTCTGTCACGGTGTTGTGTATGGAGTCATATAGAGTCATATCTATTGAACGCTTTATCAGGTGGCATTTAGCAGTAGGTTTGATCACAGAGACTTCATGGTATATGGAAATTAAATAGCGAGGATTGACGATCATTTAAGAACTTATGATGTATATAAACAGGTAAATGTATAAACAAATGGGTATGGGTAGATTAATGGTTGTTAAATTGAGCTAAACACTTATATTAACAAATGCGTATGTGTGAGCATGTTCTTTCATCATGTAGATTGATTCCGACACACACATTACTAGTAGTTTTTATTGAATAAGTGGGTCTACTCGTCAAATGGATTTTATGATTATATGTGTTGTTTAGTCTTCAGTTTTGTAGAATGTATAACGTACCATCCTTTTACTTTCGCAAAGTTAAAAATAGTATGTAATTCTTGATGATTGTAAATAGTATTGTAATGGGTATTAGCAGTCATAATTGTAATTAATATGTTTCCAACTAAAAATATTGAAATAGTTCACGCATTATAATCATGTATCCTGAATAAGCGATTAAGTATTTAATTGTACATGAGGTTATATACAAGTGTTATTTACTTGTTTCAATTTAAACTATTTTCCTGCATATTACGTAAAAGTTGTCTTTGTTTATAACGAATTAATTTCGTCGGATACATTACTAATGAAGCATACATTATCTCTCATTCTCTCCCCTTCTCTTTCACAAACACATATACACTTATTATTATTATTTTATTGTTATTATTATTATTATTATTATTATTATTATCGTTATTATTATAATTATAATTATTATTATTATTATTATTATTATTATTGCCATAAGCGCCACAAACATGTTGATTTGTGCTAAGTTTATGGAAGTTTCAGTTAAAGGATCTAATTACATACTCGAACGCATAGTGGACAGAGTTATATTTATATTGAATGTTGTCTCGGGTGATATATCGGATCACAAAAGATTTTCTATAAACAATTTGCAGACAAAAATATTTACAGATACGTGGTCAGTATTTTCTGGAAAAAAACACAGGCCGACTGATTGACTGTCACTGGGCAACTTCCATAAACTTTTTGGACATTTATTCACTTCCCGGCTATTATACTAGTACTATTTCAATATTCTGAAAGAAAGCAATTTAGAACGGTTTCTTCCTTTGCCTTCAATAGACTGACAGTACAAACACAAGTTCAAATTACTTTATTTCACTAAGTAAATTGGTGCATAATTTGCATGGTTTGAAAGGACAATGCAGTGATTAAAGCATTTCAGGATGGTCGAAAAAATCCTGGAATTAGTTATACCCAATATAACAGGTACGATTATAGTTATAGTTAGTTATACCCAATATAACAGGTACGATTCTGCGCCAATATGGGTTGTTTGTCTGACTATGGGTTTCTTGGCCATGCGAATGTGACTACTGTCTCATTTTGAATCGAATGTTACGAGTGATGGAGCGCAGAATGGCATTCTTCACAAGTCTGACGTCTG